AGGATGACAGGTACTAGCCCAACATCCCTCGAGGGCTTGAAGCCCTTTTTGGGCTAAAGAACTGACTGATCTGATCATTTCATACTTCCTTTCCCCCACTCAGTCTGGTTTGAAATTTGATTCCTTAGGGGATAGGGGTGGGAAGCATGTAAAGAACGGCTTTAAAATGTTAGGAACCAAAAGAAAGCGCCTGGAATTTCAAGGTTCACTAAAAATTACAGGGGGAAAGGAGCGCATCTTTAAATATCTACTGGGTGCCAGATGGTGACATATTCTGCTTTCCAGCCACGAACACATAGACCCAGTGGCCAGGTTCTTGGCCTGGGCTCCACTGCCCTCGGGCCAGCAGGCTTAGCAAGGGAAGGGTATGCAGCCTGGTGCCTTCTGCAGCCCAGGCCACCTTCCCCAGCAGCAGTCGGGCCCTAAGCAATGCAGCCGCACGGTGGGTAAAGAAATCTTTAATGAGGATTTGAGGTGCAAGAGGAAGACGTTGTGGAGGGCCAGTGCTTGGCCCCAGCTGCCTCATGTGTACATGGCTCCATGCAGGCTCTCCAGTCGGTGCTTCTCCTGTTGCTTGCGAGCCTGAAGGAAAGAGGCAGGGGCCATATCTGAAGGCCTGTGGGCGAACGGATGGGCCAGCTATCATGGAACTGGCTCACACTGTGTTCAGGCCCCTGGCATCTGGGGGCTCCTCACCAACGTTACTGGGGACGCAGCCAGAGCCAGGAGACCCGAGGCCTACCCAGCTTTGCTGAGTTGGGAGATGAGAGCATGGAAGACAGCCAGAGGGAGCCACCCCCTCCACTTACCACCGGCTCCTACCTTATCCCGTTTGTGCTCTTCATAAGTATCATCATCAGTGGGCAGTTCATGGCGGCAGAGGGGGCAGGAATTTGTCTGGGGGGGGAAACGGCAGTGTTCTAGCCCAGGTCTGGTCTTTATAAGCTAATATCCATCCCCTGCGCCCAATTCTCACCCTGATCCCTCTTCCTTCTCTGATTCCCCCAACAGTTCATAAAAATAAAGGGGCTGGAGAACTGGGCAGGGTGAGCAGTACCTTGCTTAGCCAGGGCAGAATGCAGTTGGAATGGAAGAAGTGATGGCAAGGCATCTCAATGGCAGTCTCCTCCTCCTCGAATTCCAAAAGGCACACGGGGCACTTGAGCTCTTTAGGAGGGAGTGCTGATCAGGAGAGCTGCCCCAGCCCCACCTCCCAGCTCCCACTCCTACAGGTCACCTGGCCCAACCTGGCCTGGAAAACCAAAGGGCCAGTCCACAGTCTGGCTTGGGGGGTGGGGGTTGAGGGGGGCAATGAGGGGTGAGGTCTGGCAGACCTGCCTCAAAGAGCAGAAAGAATCAGTGTTCTCACCAGACCGACAGCCCCTCATGACTGTCCTGGGGAGGCTCTCAACCGCAGTCTTGGCAGCAGGTGGAGGCAGGTGGTGATCCCAATCTACTCCCAACCCCAAGTCTTCAAAGTCCACACTGATGAAAAGCGACCTGAGCCGAAGGACGCGAGGTCAGAAAACCACCCTTTCTCTTCGCCTCCACACCTCGCCCGGCGTCCACCGGTCAAGCAAGACCCTCTCCAGCCGGAAACGGCTACCCCCGTCAGCAGTGCCCATCAGGTTAAGGGCAGAGCGAGAAGTGGTTGACAGCTGCTGTCACGGCCCCAACCACGCAGGCTGCTTACTCCCACGGCACGTAGGAGGCAACGAGCTCCGAGAGGCCGCTCGTGTCCCGCAGGAATGACCTGGGAAGCCAGATTCCAGCGGCAGCGCGGCGAGCTGGTCGCTGCTAAGCCAGGTCCTCACCCTGCCACGCCCCCACGGCGCCCTCTCCACCTCCCCGCCCCGCTCCCGCCCGACTTCCCGAGTCCACCAGCTCGTCTTCCCGAAACCCCCTACCGGGAGGCCCAGGGCCCATCCCAAGCACCGACTTCCCCTCGAGTCGAGCCTCCGGACTCACTCCTTCGTCCTCCCCCGGCTCTACCGCCCCAGGTCGCCCGCCTTCTCCAGCCAGCCCCGGCCCGGACACCCGCGCCCGGCCCCGCCGCCCGGCCCCGCGCACCCACCTCGCGATCTCCAGCAGGATGTTGGTTCTGGCCTCCCGCTCGGGGGCCGACGGCTCGCAGTCGTGTTCGTCGAAGTAGGACGCCATCTCTGACACAGCAGCCCTCCGACCCCACGGACTGCGGCTTCGCGGCTCCGGCCAATAAGCTAGCGAGGCGAGAGAAGGTGGCCAATCACAGCACGCGAAAGGCGGACACAGCGGGTCCTCACCGGCACGGAAAGCGGAAGTATTAGCTCTCTCACCTCTCATTGGTTCGAGTGAGTCAGGTGACCAAAGGCTAAAGCCAATGGCAGGGGGCGGGGCGGATCAGAAAACTTTTATTTTGGGATCCGAGCCCAGGGTAGACAGGTAAGAGGAGTGACGTATGGGCGCCGTGGGAAGCCGGTGTCCTCGGTTGGCTCCGCGGCTCAGAGTGTCTCGGCGATGCAGATGCTGAAGGTCCCGGGGCGCAGTCTTCACAGCCCAGAGGGAGAAGGAGTCAGCGCTGCCCGCTGCCCTGCCCCGGGCCCACCGGGCATAGTGCACGCCCTGAGCTCTAGTTGGTTCAGGAGTTGGCTCTTGAATCCTCCCCTATCTACCCCGCTCAAACAAAACAAACAAACAACAACAACAAAACAACAAAACACCTTTGTGCTTATTTCTAACCAAGAAAGGGAGTGTCCCTGATAAGGAACCTGTGTCCTTACCTGCTCCTGGTTATCAGTGTGACCTTCAGCCCATTGCTCAACTTCTCCCCTTGCTCCTGTAGAATTAGTGGCTTGAATAAAATAAGTAGTTTGTGTTAAGGTCCCCGAAGGAGGTACTCAGGAGGCCGAAAGTGGTGAAGAATTATAAATGTACTAGAGGCCCTGTGCACAAAAATTTGTGCACTGGTGGGGGGTATCCCTCAGCCCCACTTGTGCCCTCTCACAGTCTGGGACCCCTCGGGAGATAACGACCTGCTGGCTTAGGCCCACTCCCGGGTGGCAGAGGGCAGGCCCAATCCCTAGGTGCCTGCCCCGCAGCCCCTGGTTGGGCTCAGAGCAGGGCCGAATGGGGGGTTGGGGTGCCACCCCTGTCACATACAGAGCCGGCCCATCAGGGGGTTGGGGCACTCCCCCCCCTGTCACACTCAGGGCAGGGCCGATGGGGAGGTTGCTGCTCCACCCTGTCACACACAGAGCAGGGTCGATCAGGGGGTTGGGGAGCTCCCCCCTATCAGGCACAGAGCAGGGCAGATAGGGAGGTTGTGGCCCCGCCCCCTGTCACACACAGAGCCACAGGGTGATCAGGGAGTTTGGGCGCTGCCCCCTGTCACGCTGCTCCAGGGGCCAGGAGGCCTCGCGGCTCCGCTGATCCCGGTGCTGGGAGGCCTCCCGGCTCCGCTTGACACTGGGGCAGTGAGGCCTTGCTGCTCAGCTGATCCCGGTGCTGGGAGGCCTCACAGCTCCACTTGACACAGGGGCAGTGAGGCCTCGTGCTCAGCTGATCCCGGTGCTGGGAGGCTCCGCTGATCCCAGGCCGGGAGGCCTCGCGGCTCCGCTGATCCTGGATTCGGGAGGCCTTGCAGCTCTGCTGATCCCAGGCCGGGAAGCCTCGCGGCTCCGCAGATCCCAGTGCTGGGAGGCCTTGCGGCTCCACTGATCCCGGGTTCGGGAGGCCTCGTGGCTCCGCTGATCCCAGGTTCGAGAGGCCTCGCAGCTCCACTGATCCCGGTGCTGGGAGGCATATTACCCTTTTACTATATAGAATAGAGGTCTGGTGCATGGGTGGGGGACAGCTGGTTTGCCCTGAAGGGTGTCCCGGATCAGGGCAGGGGTCCCGCTTGGGTGCCTGGCCAGCCTGGGTGAAGGGATGATGGCTGTTTGCAGCTGGTCACACCCCCTTCAGGGTGGGGGTCCCCACTGGGGTGCCTGGCCAGTCTGGGTGAGGGGCTGAGGGCCGTTTTCAGGCTGGTGGGTGACTGAAACTCCCAACCTCTCCTTTTTTCTTTTTTTTAAATTCTGGGATTTATTTACCTTCTATGGCTGTCACTGGAGCTGAGAGCCGGCTTTAGCTCTAAGGGTCAGCTCCAGCTCTGAGACCTTGGCTGCTGAAAGCAGGTTTCTGGGCTTTGTTTACCTTCTGTATTTGAAACTTTGTTGCAACTCCAGCTCTGAGATCCCGGCCAGCTGAAAGCAGGTTTCTGGGGATTGTTTAGATTCTATAATTGTAACATAGTTGCTTAGAGAGCAGCTCAGAGGCACCCAAATGGTGCCAGCACCCAGAGAGGGGAAGTCAGACTCTAGGTGGGCTTTTTCAGCAGGGAATTGCAAATCCTGGGCAAGTCCAGAGGAGAAAGTTGCTGATCTCAGCAAATGGGATGTGGTCTAAGCAAAAGGGAATGTTGGTTGGGAAATGATCTAAAGGTCAGTTTCCCAAGGGAGGTGATATGGATTTGATTATTTGATCAGGTTTAATAGATTGTATCCCTGAATACTCATTAGTCTCCTGGAGAGGGGTTGCAGCTTCAGGGGGGAAAAAAAATTTTTTTTTTAGGCTTAACCCTCAAAGATTCTTGATCTAGGCCTGGGTGTGGTATTTTTATAAGTTCCACAAGTGATTCTAAGGTGAGGCAGGGTTGAGGACCACAGCACTAAATGATTTGATTGACAGTTACCATTTATTTGCCACCTAGAACCCTTACATTGATGGATATGGGAGATAAATATCATTATCCCTTTTTACACTCATAAAACCCAAGCCAAGGAAGTGACTTGCCCAAGTTCACGTGGCCTCTAAGTGAAGGCCAAGTGCTCTCCTCCATCTTTCCCAGGGCAAGCAGGATGGTAATGAGCTCACGGGGAGTGTTACCAGACAGGCACCTGGCCGGAGCTGGTCTGCTGGACGGGCTGTAGTGTGTGGGTTCTTGACTTCGTGTAGCAAAGATGTCACAACACAAGTCCAGGTGCTTTTGAGGATATGTTTATTAAAGCTGGGGGAAGTGAAACAAGGAAGGGCTTAGGATGGAAGAAGCCATAGGAGAGAGCCTCAGCCAGCTGCTTCTGCTCTCTAGAAAGAAGTGAGCCAACGTGAGGCTGCTGTCAGCTCCCTGGAGAGTCAGAGAAAAGGGGGCCTTGGGGAGAGGTTCAGGGCAGGGCGTTAGCCTTGGACGAGCTGCCCCTGCCCGATGCTCCCCTGGTTACAATTCTCATGGGGTTCCTTAGAGTTTAGGAGATGCATGCCTCAGGGGAAAGAAGAGGGGGAAGGAAAGGCCCAGACATATTCCTGGAAGGGAGAGTGTGCAGTGGGGTCCTAAGTTTTGAGGGTTTTAAAGGCTGGGAGTGTGGGGGAAGTCTTAGGGAAGGATCTCAATAGAATATTCCTCAGCTTTTCCAGGTGTATCCTTTCAGGGTTGTGGTCTCCACTGATGGGTCGGCACCAGGGCAGAGGATCATTAGTAATTGAAGCTGGTCCTGGTGTCACCCATCTCTGGTTTTGCTGTTTTTCCTAAGCCTGGAGCTGAAATACAGCTGAGGCCTAGGTGTTACCTCTAGTTATGGGGTGTGGCCACAACATTAGTAACAAAGAAACAGAATTTCCAGAGGATGAGGCCCAGAAATCAGGATTTTAAAGATTCCCAGTTGATACTTATGTGCAGCCAAGGTTGAGAACCACTGTTCTAGGAGGAAAGGTCAGGGAGGTCTAAACTACACAGATATCGGCCATTGATATGCCAGGGGAGGAAAAGCCACCCTGGTTTTGAGGTCTGGCACCAATTTTGCTCATTGCTAGGCACCCGGGGCTTTCTGCCCTAGTGACCTTCTGTAACTTGCCGGGAAATGCTTGGCCAGTTTGTTCAGCTCTCTGTCTCAATTTCCCCACTCCACTTGCCAAGGAATTTTCCCAGCTTACTATCCTACCTCAGAAGTAATGAGCTCTGGTGAGGGGTCCATACAACTCTCAGGTTTGTTCTTATTTCTCTTCCAGTAGCCCTCTCTCTACTTAACTAGGAACTGCTTCTGTTACACACTTGACCCTGAATTCCCCTTCCTTCCCACACTTGAGTTTGAAATGCAGTGAAGGCCGCCCCAGCTTGGGTTACTCTGGTCTTGGCAGGGCCTTCCTTCCTTCTTCCCTGGCCTTTACCCAATGATCTTTCCTGTTTCCCTGAAGGCACTGCCTACTTGGCCCCGCGTAGCCCTGGAGCTTTAAAAAGCCCAAATTCTCTCCTACAGGTCAAACTCCGAGTCATCCTTTGTGACTGCATCACAACACCACAGACACCCTTCCCGTTTTCACTGCCACCTGCCTCATCTGTGACCTGATGCAAAGCTTGAGGAAAACCATGGGCAGAGAAATTGGGAAGGGGGAAGTGTTCCGAGGGCAACAAGTCTAGCCTCTCACTTTGTGATATAAAAATCTCTGAAGTGTTTCCCTCTTTGGCATCCCATCTGGAGTCCCATTGGTCCTCTGAGCATCCCCAAGACATCAGAATCATAACAGATTTTGTTCTCAGGGAAACAGGCTCAGAGGACACCAGTTGGAGGGTCTGGTTTGGGGGCTGTTGTGCCTTTACACCTGCACTCCAGAAGGATCTGTCTGTGCAGGGTTGGACCAAGTAGGGAAGTGAGAGGAAGGGGCCACTTCCCAAGGATGGAGTCCTTCGGGTGGTAGCCTTTCTAAGCAGCCCAAGGGGTGGAAGCAGAGCAGAATGAACAACCTGGAGACCTTCACACACACACACACACACACACACACACACACACACCAGCTGTTAACCAAACAGCACTTTTTAACCAAGCAGCAGCGTTTACTGAGCTCCAAGTGGGGCTGGCCTGGCATGGCCAGTGCAGCAGGCTGCCCTCAAGGGCCAGTCAGTGGCGTGATAGGAGATGCAGAGGTGCACACTTTGGGGCTGCCCTTAGGCGCTCACTGGGGTGGCTCAGATAGGAGCAAATGCCAAAGTTCTTTGGAGACCAGAATCAGCCAGTGCGGCCATTTGGCCTCTCCTCCACGCCCGACTGGGTCAGTCCCCAGGCCCCGAGGCAGCACCTGAGTCCTGGGCCTGTGGGCCACTGCTGCCCTCACTTCTCTGTGGGAGAAAGATGACCAGCAACACAATCAGGATGATGAGCAGGCCACCGCCCACCACCAGCCCCAAGTAGATACGCCAACGGATGTTCTCCCAGCACTTCTTCTGGGCCAGGGTCTTGGTTGTCTTGCTGAAAGCTGAGCTCTGTAGATGTCCCCAGACACAGGATAGGAGTTAGTGGTTCCCTAGAGACCTGAAGCCAACTCCTCCCAACCCCGCCCCAGCAAGGTGTAGTCTCCTCCTGCATCCTTCCCATCTGCATGTTCCCTCTCCCCTCTCAGCCTGCCCTGGAACCCTCCCAGCCTGACTCCTAGTCTCAGACACTGGTGTAGCCTTAACTTGCAGCCCTTTGGGCTAACCTCCAGTTAACCATGCCAATTTTCAACCTTTAGGAAGCTCCACAGCTTCAAACCAAGGCCTACTACCCATTGCATATCTAGGCAAGGGGGCGTCAAGAAACCCACAGACCCAACACTGGCCCTCAGGTCCCACCAAGGGCCTGGAGGCACTGAGCACAGCCTATGAGCTCCCTATCAGGGCTCCTGCCAGCCTCTCCCTCCCCCCTCCCGGCTTCCCCAGGCCTCACACCATGTTCAGGAGTTGGTCGGAACGCTCCTCCAGCTCCGAGAGTTTCCCATCGCGCTCCAGGACCTTGTCAAAGTTGTTGAGCATGATTTCCGTCACCTCATCCGCCTGCCGCTGGCACTGCTCCAAATCTTTCCCTGCCTGGGCACAAAGTCCAAGGTCAGGGCTGAATGAAGCCCCCACCCGGCCCTCACCTGGTACTGAAATCTAGAGGTCTCCTTGCTCAGTGTGTGGTGTGTGTGTGTGTGTGTGTGTGTGTGTGTGTGTGATGTATGGCAGGGGAAACAGCATCTTTCATGTAAGGATATATGTGTGGAGTAAAGGGCCAACCTCCTGGGTGTGTGTGGCTCACCTCGGTCTCACAGGCCCCTCCTCTTGCCCATCAAAGCAGGTCCTAGGATAGCCAGCTTCCTCTAAGGTGCCCCAGGATGGGACCTTCCCAGAACCCCACCCTTCCACAAAGCACATACTTTTCTCACCTGCTCTAGGGTGGCCTCTAACCGATGGTTCTAGGATGGCACACTGGCCCTCTGGCTTCCCCCAGCAAAGAAGAGGAAACCAAGCTACTTGGCTAGAGCCCAGCTAGAAAGATCCACCCCGCAGAGCTAAAAAGGTAATTCTGGACCATCACACGTCATAGCCACAGGCACACACAAAGACACAAACTGAGATCCGATCTCCCTCCTTGGGCCTCTGAGTGGTCAGGCCAGTTCTGACCAGGCTTGGATCTTACCCAGCTCATTTTAGAGGACTGGGAAGGGAGATGCAGGGTCCAATTTGGGGGAGGTTGGGAGGACAGGGGAGAGGGAAAAAAGCATGGGTCACACACAAGAAAAGAGCTAGGCTTTGGACACATGCAACTGAGGGAGATCCAGGGCAGGAGGTCCTGGTTGGAGAGCTGGAGGTCCAGGAGCAGGTTGAGACACAGATCAGGGAGATGAATATGAGAGGATTAACAAACCACAGCAATTCCCTCCTCCCATTCTAGTTCCCCACAGCCCATCCCTCTTCTCGTCTCCTCTCCACAGAACATGGGCCAAGCTCCCTTTCCTGCCATACCATATTGTCCATTGTCTACAGTAGACACTTTGGCACTTGACTGAATTCCACTTAAAACCACAGAAAGGGAAGGTATCTGGTGGTTACAGAGGGCCACCTCCTACTCAGGCAAGAATCTTCATTCAGGATCCTTGCACACAACCTCCAGGCAGCCCCAGCTCATGAGTCTACCTCCCCAACTGGGCCACAAGCTCCCAGAGGGAGGGCAGGGCCCAGTGCCCTTCTTTTGTCTGCCTGGAATCAAGGCCCCGGGAGGCCAGCACAGTGCTGACCATTGCGAGGACTCGGTGAGTGAGTCATTTGCATTATAGCCTGTCCAAAAGCAACTCTTATTTTCAAGAGCTGTTACCCCCGTGTGTTTATCTAGCCCAGCAGGAGTTTCGAGGGGTAGCATCTAAAACCAAAGTAGGTCAATATTTGCTCATGAGCTAGAAAAGAAATATTTGCTTCAAGAGGCAAACCATGGTAGACGGGTATACTCACCGGCCAGGGGAGCAGTACTGAGGAACAAGGAGGAATAACAAAGAGAACAGGGAAACCATACTCATCTCTACCACATCATGACCACTATTATGATGACTAGATTATTCAACAAGGTTCCATTATGTGGAGTCTCTCGCGTTCAAACAGTACAAGGCATCCGCACATTCAAATTGTCTGAGGCCAAAACTTGGGAATGGACAAAGATTTGAAAATGAGAATCACTGCTAGAGGTTGGTGGGACGTTGGATATTTATTTTTTCTACTCTGAAGACTACAGCTGTTGTTTTTCTCCTCCATGGGGTGACATTGGGTCACATTCTCTAGGAGAGCTGGCTGTACCTCCCACTGCAGTCCGCAGCCTCCTTCCCCCACTGGGCACCAGGCCTGTCTGGACCCCAGATGGTTCCAGGCCTAAAGGAACACATTCGCTTCAAGGAACACAGAGGCCTCAGACTCAAGTCTCTGGCCCTCCTTGGCCCCACTCAACTAAAGAACTACAGGATGTGGAAGGAGGCAGCCGCCAGAGATCAAGGCCAAGCTGCCTGCTGCCACATTGAATGCAGCCTAGAGCCCGGCACGCAGAAGCCATTTGGGAAATATTTTCTGAATGAATTGTGCCTGTTCTTAAGAAGATCCCTAAAGGCTGAGGAAAGAGCCATATACGATACAATTAGAAAAGAGTAGATTTACACTGGGAGATGGAAATAGGGAGTATTAGAGCTGCCCACAGAGCAGTGACTCCTGAGAACCTTCATAGAGTGGGTGGGGTGAGCCCTGGAAGAATGGGGTGGAGCTGGGGCATTCTTGAGGGCTAGGCAAAGGGTAAGGGTGGAGGGGCAGGGTGGGCCAGAGAAAAGTCAAGAAGAGGAAGCGCAGGCCCTGGCTGGGCAGCTCGGTTGGTTAGAGCGTTGTCCTGAAATGCCCAAGTTGCAGGTTTGGGCACATACAGGTATCAACCAAATGAATGCATAAGTAAGTGGAACAACAAATCAATCTCTCTCTCTCTCTCACTCTCTCTCTCTCAAGTCAATAAAAAATAATAATAAAATAAATTTTAGAAAAGAAGAGGAAGCTCACTTGGAGGGAGGGATGGTATAGGTCTCTGAACCAAGGGCAACACTGCAGAGGTGCTTCAGGATAACTTATCTGTTGGTGGAAGGCTGGCATGTTTGGAAGTGAGAGAACTTAAAACAGAGAGGCCAGCCAGACAGGGTGAGAAGAGAAGTGCCATCAGTAAGTATGTGAGATGTCCACTGGGGGCGAGGGGGTGGGGAGGGAGGCAGAGAATGTAGAGGATGGGGGTGGGGGG